TTTAAAAATTAAAAAAATAATTTTGTTGAATTATATCATTTTTAAGAAGAAAAAAAAATGATTTTAAAAATATAGAAGTTATTAGAAAGTTATCACCTTTATATAGAGTGAAAGGCATTCAAAAGATTTTAGGACGTGTCGATTGATATTGTAACTTGATTGAGTCATATTTTACTCATGCCTAACCAATGATTAATCTATTGAAGAAGACCATTAAAATTAAATGGATTTTTGAATGCCAAGCCTATTTGTTGAAAGCCAAATTGCTATCATATCTTTATTTATTACGACCAAATTAGAATCAACTTTTTTATGTCTATTGTGATGCCTCTAAATTTATAATAAATAGTACCTTATGCCAACCAGATCATAAAGGTGTAATTCACCTTAATACTTTTCTTAATAAATAATTGATAAGTATTGAATACAACCATACAATCACAAAATGAGAATATTTTGCTATAATCTTTAATATCAAAAAATTCTACCATCACTTTATATTGAACAAGGTCATTGTCTTTGTAGATCACATGGCTTTTAGATATATTACAAGAAAATTAGATATAAGTGGTAGATTAATAAGGTGGATATTACTTTTAGGAAAATTTAATTATACAATACAATAAAAATTGAGAAAACAACATAAACAAGTCAATCACATTTTATAATTTTTTACAACTATAGGTATCCAAAACATAGATGATGAACTTGTTGATGCTCATTTGTTCCATGTTATGGTAGTACCTACATAGTATAAATATATTTTTAAATTTTTGAGTATTCAACAATTATCCAATGCCTTATCAAAAAATAAATGATATAAGATTAGAGTAAATTGCACCCATTTTGCTCTTATAGACAAGAAACTATATTGTCAAGGAATTTATGAGATTTTAAGATATTGTTTTACTTATAAAGAAATAGCACTCGTATTAGAAGCTTATCATTTTAAGTGCTTGAGGTGGATACTTCTATAGTCAATTAATAGCTCAAAAAGCCCTTAAAACAAGCTATTTTGGCTTATAATTTTTGCTAATTCAAAGTCTTTTACAAGATCTTTGGATGTTTATCAAAGATATGCATGCAATAATTTAAATCTTGTAATGCCTTTAAATCCCTCACTTTCACTTGTTTCATTTAAGAAATGAAATATAAACTATATTAAAAAATATATATTTTACATCTTCATGTCAAATGTAATATATCATTGTAGTTATAAAATATTTGACCAAGAGAGTAGAATCAAAAGTTGTGAAGAAAGAAAATACTAAACAAACTGCCATATTTTTGTATGAGGACATCATAATTTGTTTTGGTTATTCAAAAATTCTTATGAGTGATAATGGTATTCATTTTTTAAATGAGGCTATTGAAAAATGACCACATTATTTATCATCAATCATAGAAAGATTATTTCCTATTATCTTTGAATAAAACCTATACAATCATTTGTATCAAATACATATTGACCTAAAACAAATTATTTGAGTCAAACACAAATAATTTAAAACTCAAAAAATTGTTTGTATTTTAGATCAACATGTATTTTAAATCAAATTCTTAATATTTTCTTTTGTATACTCTATTTCTTTGAATAAATTACAATGTCAACTTTTGTAATTTCTTCTATAATTTTTATATAAATTATATCAAAGGCAAGAGTAGAATTCTTGATGTTCTTACAAATAGTCTCAAATGGTCACCATATATAAGTCTCATCAATAAATCTTAATCAATAAAACTATTCAAAATATATTTTTTAATTATTTAAATATAAAAATATTAGTATTAGAGAGTCTTTTTGATGATTTAAGTATGTACTAAAAAAATTTATATGATAAAAGAGTCTTGTTAGAAAAAAATTACAAAAATAAAGTTAATAAGTCTTAGAAGTAATTATCTTAGTTAGTTTAATATTTTTACTTATTATTAAATATTAAAGATTATTTAGTAAAACCAATGTCTATATTGATCTTCTACCTATAATTATTACTTATTAAAAAAAACCTATAAATATTAATTAGTAATTAAAAAAAAGCATAAAAAAAATTCATAACTTTTTGATTATTTATATGAAAATATAATTTTTTGTTGATTTAAATAGATTTTATTATTATTAAAAATCACCAAAGTAGAAAAATATGGCTTTAATTTGACATTAGCATTATAAAAATATTATAGAAATTTTTAGAAAAAAATTCAAAACTTTGACAAACTTGAATTTTTACCACCTTATTCAAATAGAGAATATATCCTTCAAATAAACATTATTAGATTTAAACTTAGGTTTTGCATCCAAATGTATTCAATCCAAGGAAATTATCATAACTATCACTGATCTATAAAAAAATATAAATACAAACCAAATAAGATTACAATTTATTCTTATTAACAATCAATAAGAACAAAAAAAAGACAAAAGTTTAATGACTATATTATTGTTTGTATCTAAAAAAAAATAGATTTTACAAGTAAGATTCAAACTACCAAACTATATATTCCACTTAACTTGCTATCCTACAATACTGTAAAATTTTCAGATCATTACAAATCACAATACGAACAAAATTTGCCCTGCATAAAGTTTTTGAAATTTTCACTTCTTACAACATGTGAATAGTAAATCTGAAATTGGCAGTTATCTTTGGTTGACCTTCATTGTGAACTAAGCTTTCATCTTTATACAACCACAACGTCAAAAAAACTAACCTTACAACGAAGAAAAGAGAGTACCCATCCTGCATTTCCATTGCCAGTAGAAACAGTGCAGTACAAATAATTGCTAATTACAATCTCATGCTCACCTGCTCCACCAATCATGCTGTCAAAGTACAAATATTAGAACCACTGCTGTATTCATCAAAATTTTAGCACTTATTCCCATCAACAAAAACAGAAAACGTGCAACTCTTATAACGTGTTTGTCACACATGGTTAGTTTACGGATGACTCTAAAAAATTGTTAAGTGTCCACCGCATCTCTCTTGATGGCGATGGAAATGTAACTTGGTCTCATACAAGACCAAATAGCACAGTACAGAGAACTACACAGTACTACTCAATAGAATATGTAGGAGAAACTGTAAGTCTGACTTTGGCTAATATGGAGATTCAACCTTCTATATTCCACCCTCATCAATCTTGAAGAACCCACCCTGGCCTGAGCACTAATCATGAACTCCAAGCATAAGAGTTTGGATATGCTTTATGATGAGGACAAAATAACGCAGAGCAAGACAAAAAAAGGTAAGAACATTGACAAACTACAGTCTCCAACTGCCTTACTTCTCCAGTTCACCTTGAGAAGTAAGCAGCTGCCAGGCTAGAGATTCATCAGTATTCATCACCCGCGAGATCCACATTGATTTGCAAAATAACCTTGCAAATAGTAGCCTATTCACACACACACACTCTGTGCCTCTCATTTAAAGCTTTCTGCAATTTGAATCGTATTCAGAAAGATTTGACTGAAAGGTTAACCACATAGCTTGGAGTATGCTGACACAGCCGAAAAAAATTTACCAATCAAACCTCATACTCGTCAGTTGAACTAACCCGATCAGCTAAAGAATCACGGTGAGACGAAGATTTCAAGTTTTGTGCATTTCGAAACATAATAGAACTTCAACATCGAAACCTGGACTCTTAATACATTACATCAACAGAAGAAGATATCAAAGAATGGAAAACAGAAAGTCAGCCTTCACACTAAATGTCAAACAATCAAATTCCTTGTAGAAGCTTCGTTCAAACGAGCGTTTTACACAACCGAGTTGCACTTACTATAATCCCAAAATGCTACCAGTCTCCAAATTCCAAACATAATCCCCCCATGTACACTCCACAGAAAAAGCCTCAAGATACTTTAAATTTCCTTGAATCCAATTCCATCATTTCCAGAAAAACCGAAAACTAATAGAGGTTCTAAAATGTGCGTTAACGAGACTAGGAAGCTTCCATTCCTAGAACCCAACACACGACAGCCTCAGAACAGGGGTAGAACACCAGAAATCACGACGAAAGCTAGCCTACGTAGCAGCATTCACAAACTGTTTCATCACCGAATCCGCAAAATCAAACTCACGACTACTCGAACTGCGACTCTTCAATGCATGAAACCACACGCCGAATGCGTTCAGGCTCGCATGCAACGGCGGAGCAGCCAGATCGAACTGCTAGAAATGCGCAAAGCTTCGGTACAGACGGCAAAACACGGTGCCGAAGCACGGCGAGGAATGAGGACGAAGAAGAAGAAGAAGACTCATCACCACCGGAGCGGGAAGAGGGTCTCTACCGAAGACCCAAATCCGCCACATGGATGAACAGAACTATGGATGAAAAAACGTTGAACTTGTTGCCACGTGGATGGTGATGTGGCAAGTGGTGCCACGGTGGACTGGCAGTGGATGACGGCGTCTCCTGTGGTACAGATGTACAATGAGTGTAAGTCTGCGGTTTGGATAATCTCTGGATAACGCTGATATTTTCTTAGATTCTTGGTGGCAATTGGGCATTGAAACGTGCAGTAGTAGTTATGTACTACGGCCAAGAAGAAGAAGAAGAAAGCAACGTAGTCGGGAACTTCAACTATTTCATGGAAAGAAAGAGTGGGTGGGCGGGTGTCTACCACGGTGAGATTCAGATATAAGTAAAGGTTATTGGCACTTTCATGTGGGGTGCTTGGATGGGTCGGCAACGATGGAGCCGTCATTTAGAAGCTTCTTTACTGTCATACTTGGTGAGATACTTGGCAATATCTTACATGAAGGCTCGGTAGAAGTTGAAGGATAATGTTTCAGCGGAGAACCAAAGCACAACAGTCAGACAAGAACGTGGCATCATGTAACTCCCCATGCACATACTGCAAAGTAGACATGACCTGATGGAATTTCGAGGTGAATAGTGGAAATTGAATTGATAGTGAGTTGAAAATGGAAAGATGAGGAGTAACTATAATAATGGAAATAATTTAGTCGTGGCTAATATGTAAATCCAAGAGGTAAAAGATAAGAGACTTAGCGGTATATCTGAATTCCAGAAACAAATTTTCATTTCGTCAAATTTGGAGGGACATAAGCCCTTGGAAGATATGGAAACCTCGAAAGCAGCCAAGCCGCGATTGTACGGATATGGCTAACCTGCAGACTGGAATTCAATGTGCCTCAGCCTTGAGCCTTTGATGGCAAGGTGCTGTGGATTGATTGCTACATTCAACGTTCCACTGACCGAATCCCTTGAAGGGACAAGCCACCACCAAGCTGCTGTCTCTCTGCGCACTGTTCTTTGTAGTTTACAACCTGGCATCTGAGTAGCATCTGGCAGAGAAATGAATTCGTAGCTATTTACATAAGAATTAATCTACAGAACCAGAGACGCCCTTCCTTTCCAGCATGAATTATACCCAACGCCAGCCAGGAAAAATTGCACCCGCCAGCACCGTATCTACATCTCCATCAACACAACTCAACTCTACTTCCGCATCAAAACAAAACTTCGGAAAACTGTTGTTCCTCCTCACACCACACCGATCGCATTGCCGCTTGAACTGATGCTACTTGTGCTAACATGGAAAGCAGAAGAACTCCTGGATGGTTGATCCAAAAGCTTCAGAGTGAGTTGAGACGGTTCTGGGGTAGGTAGTCCCAAATTCAACTGCGACATCTCCTTCGTCTCATTGACGCCAACATTCAAAGGTTCTGTTGATAACTTCGCTGTGGGCCTCAATACCTTCGAGTCCACAGAGTTTACAGGCCTGTTGTATCCTCGTGGCATCATTGAAAACATTGGGAAAGGATAAGAAATGCCCATTGCACCATTAGGTCCTGAGAAATTCACCGCAGATGTCTCTGGTATTTGCTCCGAAGCCCCTAACGAGACAGGTCCAATCGACATGATGGGTACAGCCATTGAGGTTGGGGGTAGCATATAGGGCCTAACATAACCATGTGGATTGTTAGCATCGTAGAATATCCCTGGGTACATCGAGTTTGGTCCTAAGCTAAGCTGATGCATAGGAGCTGCCATGTCAGAAGCAGACTTGGTTGCTGGTTCTTCCAAAATTGGTGCAGGTCCCTGCAGAGTCCAAAGAGCCATTCTTGAGCATGCCTTGCAACTCAATCGAAATCAATCAAAAACTCGATCTAAGACAACGGTTTACTTCGTAGACCCAGCAATTAAACAGGAAAATGCTAATCCCGGAATTGATATACGATGAAAGCAAATGCCTAATCAACAAGTTCCACAATCTAAGTATAAAGATAACTTGAGAAAATGCGATGTACCGTTTCGGAGACGATATCAAAGAGACTCGATCGCCTCTTTCGCTTGTTCATATTGCTTTGTCTGATAAAATACTTCTGAGCATGACTAGCCACTTGAGTTGGTGTCCTGGTTTGGACAAAGTTCCTGGATATACCCCTCCAATCTCCTTTTCCAAGCTTCTGAAGGCCAAGTAAAAAAAGTCTATGTTCCTCCTCTGTCCATGGTACACCTGAAATGAACAAGGTCATACCTGTTACTCTAGCATCAAAAGAGAAGCAAAGACTAAGATGCAGAGCCCCAAATTTCCTGACTTCTTGCTACATACTAAAGACCCACTCGAATGCCACAAACCCTCTATTAAATTCCAGGGATGAAGACGTGAGGTGAACACGATCGCAATCTCACATAGTGGTCCAACATTTCAACATTTCTCCATATAGCATTGAAAACGACACCTTGATCGGGCAGAAACCCAACCTCTAAAGAGAAGTCAATAATGATGAATTGGAAAAATGAAACTACAAATCGGCTGCAAATTACAAAACTTCTGAAAGATCGAACTTCATACAAAAGGATCACACAACACGATTATGTTACTTCATGGGTATACCAACATGTGAACTGGATCCAATTATAATTAATAATAAAGATTACCAAACTCCCCTCCAACACACACGCACACATACACACACACACTCACACAACAGGAAAGATGCACCAACCTTTCTTCCTTTCTCTGGTGTTGTTCGATGTCTGAACGAGACCGTCGGAGACGTAGCCATCGCCACCGGCTCCAGACTCGGAATGACTGGGTGGAGAAGGAGGGTTGTTGGGGCCGATGTAGTGGCTTAGGTTACCCATACTGACACTCTTCCTCATAACCCCATCTGTGAGCCTAACACCAAACAGTCTCACCCCTCGATCAGGGCATGTCCTTGAATTATGACCGTTATGACCACAGTGGGAGCACCCGCGAGCCATCTCAGTCTCTAGGGCGGCCAGCTTGCTAATAGAAATCGCTCGCTTCCTATGCGTCACGGATCACAGGCCCGACGTAACACTGAAATGTTTTGACACACAGAAAGGAAGGGAAGTTGAGAAATCAACCAGATTTTTATAGAATACAGGAGGAGTGGAAATCGTAGTAGAAAAAAGAAACACTCCAAGAGAATACCCCGCAGACCCTAGACTAAATGCCCAAACCTTTTACTTAAAGAGAGAGCCGATCAGGGATCGGTGCAGCTCCAGAATAGAAAGTAAAAGGCTAGAAAACGTGATAAACTTAGAAGGGAGGAATAGAAAAGGTAAACCCAAACAAGCACGCTGTCAAGTGCTAATCCCAAAGCCTACAGCCACACGGCTTCTCACGACCCCCACGAACCTTCTTTGCGAGCCGGAAAAACTGTCCGACAAGATGAAAAGAGAGAAAACAGACCACGCTACCCCCGAAAGAAGATACCGTTTCAATCTCACTACACTGCAGAAGATCCTAGTGCCCTCCGAGGCTTGCTCAGACCACCGATCACCGAAGCGATCGTACGATCCCGCAATTCCTAACGAGCACGACTGCCGGACAAACGCAAGGCTTCCAGCAGCAATAACCAGGCAGGGATGTAAACCAAACTGAGCAATCCGACGGCTTCTTGTCAAGCGCGAAGAAGACCACAACGAGCGAACAACAACGCCGATTCTATCACTCTCTTCCTGGCCACCTCCCACACTCCAAGGCGCTTCCACCGAGACAAAAGAAAATTTCCCTTTAAAAAACAAACACTCACTCCCACACCCGGTTGAGCGCGCATGAAAATCCGACACTCTCTCACCCCGCACCACACCTCACAAAAACCTCTAAAAACACCAACACAACAGGGCGAAAACGAAAAAACAAAAAAACAAAAAGCTGTGTACCGAACTGGAAAGAAATGAAAAGCACCGAAACCTAGCGAGAAACGAGCTGCGAAGGCGGCGATCGGCGACTTACAGGCAGGAGAGTGGACAGCGGCAATGGTCTCAACTACAGTGCGCGTGCAACCAACACGGAGGACGGAGAGGGGCTGGATGACCGAGGGCCGAGTTCCAGTATTGGAGGTGGAGGTTGTTGCTGTTGTTGATGATGTTCCTTGAATGTTGCTGTCGCGGCTGCTGCTGGCCTGGCTGATGGTTGCTGCGTTGCTGCTACTGCTAGTACTGCTGCGACTGATGCTAATGCTACTACTGCAGGTAAGGAGAGCAAAAAGGTTTTAGAGGGATCTGCGGGAAAGCTGCCTGGAAGAGGTTGACGGGCTCTTTCCCCCTTCTACCTCCTCCTCCGCTGGCTATGGCGGAGAACGAAGGCCTGCGACGGATGAGCAACGAATGAACAAGAGTCGGGGTTGCGAAAACACGCGGTGTGTCATCCGGCACGAGCGGTGTGGGTTTCATCGGAGGCCTTCGTTCTCATCCTCTTTCCCACGTGGGAGGTCGCGACATGGAAGTGTTTGCTCGCATTCAGGAGCGGCTATCTATAGTACCGGCACTACCTGCTATTCTTAGCCTCCCTCTCTCTATCTCTCTCTCTCTCTCTCTCTCTGTTTTTCAGTTGTTTTCTTTGTTTTCTCTCAACCGCCGCGGTGCAACCTCCTCCCTGCCCCTGCCCTTCGCTGCTCTCTGCCCCTTGACCCACTTCAATGGAAACCCATCTCTGCTCATTACTGTGTCTGCTCGCTGCTCTCTTTTTCTTACCTCCCTCGTGATCGCTTCCTGGTTCCCCGCTTCATTCTTACTGCCTCTTTTTTCTACCTCTGGTTTTGTGCTTTTATCTACTGCTGGTTTCTGGGAGTGCTGTGGTTTGGCTGAACCCCTTTGTTGAGAGATGTGGTGTGTGGGTAGTGTTGGGTTGTGGTTGGGCTCCTTGTTTGATTTTGGCTTCTCGGATGCATCACATGGGGATTCGCGTTTTTAAGGATAGTGGAAACTGTTTCCTTCAGAATTACAATGATAATGTTAATAATAATACGTTTATCCCTTTCGTGTGATGCTCAACGACTTGCATGAGCGGAATCGGCGCTGAAATTTGAGGGTTTAGGATTATTCGAAGAACAATAAATTTATTTTATTCAAACAAAACAAAATGAAATAAAATAAAAGAATGAGCACCTGAGCGATAAAACATGTTGCTCCGACACCCCATGTATGTTTCATGGATCGAAAAAAATTAATAAATAAGATCAATTACTACGCCTATCTGGGTGTAGAGTGGTGAACTCGGATTTTTTTTTTTTTTTTTTTTTTTTTTTTTTTTTGTTATCATTTGTATATCCACAAGGTTACATGTCGTTTCAACTGACTAACAGTGAGGATTGCCATGAAGGCTGTACAAATACTCCATTTACACACTTCGTGCAGCTGGACAACGCGAATGTCTGAAACATCTATATGATTGAACCGCTAAATGAGTTCAGTGTACAGTACGTCTTTTAAAATAATGATAACGTTTTTATGTTTGTTTCCAATTATCCCCAGCTTCCAATTTACTGCAACACAATCCTCAAGATTCCTTGACCCAACTCCCTGAACCTGAACTTAGAAAGCCAGCCGCACTCTTATCTTCTGCCATCTCAAGATGTATTCGGAAAGTGAACGGAAATTTAAAAATAAGCATAGGGACGTAAGACTACCAGATGAATAGTTTGAAAATGGGCTGCACAACCAACCCACTCGACCCGCTTTATGCACAACCATTTTGACTTACTGACCATTTTGAGTACGTCTTTTCATCACATAAACCCAGTACTCAAACTCTTTTTAATTTATTCATTTTCTGGTACCATTTTTAGGAGTAATATCACTGCGGTCTCAATACAGAGTAGGTGTATATACACTCGATCTTACACTAAATACTTCCATGCAGCAGTCTGGTGCCCATACATTCCATGTGAGCCATTTGTAAGGAATTTATATTCATATATATATATATATATATATGTATTTATTAGCAAGCATCGAGTCACTTATCCAGTGCAGTCAATCAATCAGTGGGGCTTGACTCAGAGCTAACAATCAATTAAGGGGTGGTGGAATCATGGGCAAGGGATTCAACGTAGAGCTGCGAAAGACCTGAGAGGCCCAGCTTACGGATCTCGCCGTCAGCGAGCATGCGTTGAAAAAAGCGTGCAAGTAAAATAATGCTGCGAGGGGGAGTTAATTTGGCGGAGCAGAAGGGGCGAGAGAGCGACATGACTGGTAAGTTAGTTGCAGGACGGCGCCAAAGGGGAGAAAGAAGGGGATGGACGCAGAGCAATGGGGAATTGAATGCGACCTCGAACCGACAGAGCGCTGGGACGGTAGTTGGTGACGTCGAAGGAGGAAGAAGGGCGGAGGAAGCGCGGAGGAAGGAGCGGGGAGGTGCGCAGCAGGAACACGTCGAATGGAACAAGACCATGTTAGAGAGCGGCGATTGGGCGCATGACCACTGGGGGGGGGGGGGTTCCAATCGGCAGGGAGCTACACGCTACTGGGGACATTTTCCCTTCCTTCCATGCAGGATGGAGCTGCTGTGCGCAGGCCTCCTTCGCTGCTTTACGAATCGCGGGCCGGCGACGCAACATTGCGGGGAAACAGACCTGGCACTGAATCGGCGACCCACGCCCCTCCATCATGCTCACGTCACCCCCCCTCTTGTACTGACATCGACGCAAAGCAAATGGGATTCCAGGGGGAGAGCTCCTTTCAATCACTCTCGTCCATCCCATGATTCTCAATTATCCCTCCGTAATATGCTTCGTGGGCTATTTTTATTCCTGATCCACCTTCATCTGCTAGCCCCATTTCCCTTCAACTCCACGCTTCCTACAGTAGTCTCCTTCGCTTTTGCCGTGTGGGAGTTGTGAAATCATGTTGTTTTTTCACTGATGCCATGATTCCAAGTGGAGCGAAGAATAAGTGCGGTTTCCGAAAGTGCTGTTAAAGGAGGGCATTTGCGCTTGCAAAAGGCAGCGCAGTGAGCATGGAGTTCCTGTCATTAGAAGGAACAATGCAGATTGGATGGGTGGCGAAGGAGCCCAGCCGGTTGTGTCAGTGCATCTGTGAACATAGGGCCTGGGTTCGGCTCACGACATTACAATTATAGTTGGATCAGAGGTGGAGGCGGTATCAGCGAGAACCAGATTGGAACAAGTTGAGCTCTATATCGAAAGACAATGACCGATTTCGTGGCAACGGGCGCGAGGAAACGACAAATGACCAGGTGGGTCTGCAATCGATGAGGACGACGAGAATAGGAAGTGAATATTGGGAGCCCCCAAATTGGAGTGTGGCTTGGATGGGGGAAAATGAAACAATAATGTGTCGTGATTTGGGCTCGGCCGAATTGGCCGAGCAGCAAGCGACGGAAATAGGTGATCTCCTACCCCCAAGGGATATGCACGGAGGGGAGCAGTTTTGGGCCAATGAGCACTTGCGGACGGAGGGTAGAGAGTAATTCATGCACAACCGAAGGGGTGGGTGCAGGGCAGCGGAGCCTTGCTAAATGTGGCCTCCGCCGTGGGCATGTATGCTTAGCTGTGAATCAATCCGGATAGCTACTCTTGCAGAGATATTTCACACTGGTGCCCGAGGGTAACACATTCTCTTCGTCTTCCCCTGCCTCGTCTGCTTCTTTTTCTCTCTATATTCTATGATTCGGTGTGGAAAACACCTACTTCGGTTCCGGGATCATAATCCATTGTTCAATCCTGTTTAGATAAAACGGAGTAAACGTTCCCCCAGCCGCGTCCAGGATAACTGGAGCGCCTCCTGCGGTGGGCCATTGCAAAGGTTTCTTCTACTCCCACCGTCACTTCCCCACTACCCATCGCCTACTATAAACGTACTCCACCAGTGATTTTCTATCAATCCCCCCCCCCCTTATATACTCTTTCCTCGTTAACCGCTTCACAATATAACTAAATTAACAAAAATAAATTAATAAATAACACCTACTGAACAGCCGGAAACGACTCCACGCATTGAAACCACAATGAGAGAACTCATCACCGTCGACAAAATGTACATTACGCCATATATATATATATATACATATTGAGACAAAAAAGAAACACAGTTTGGTAGTTGAAGAATCTGTCGCGCACAGACGTAGAAGAGGAAGATCAGCGGCATCGGATAAGTTCTGTTTGCCATGCTGGTAGACAAAAGAAATATATATCTAATGAAGACGATGTGCGGAGCAGTGGAGTTGCATGCGAAGTCAAACAGACAAATGT